CTATATTAGAGATGTTGTTATTTTCTTCCGCCAAGATATCTATTAGTTAACTTTAACTCTACACATTATTTCTTCTCATCATTATTAGATTACCGATTATGTTTCAATATCTATTTAAAATGGCTACAGCAAGATTGCAAAACTGCATATATGGTTTCTAAAATCTTTTTACAAAAAGAATGATTTTAACTTGGTTAATTTTACTAATGGAGATAAAAAACAGATTTAAGTGGGGGCAGATAAATGACAATGAAATAAAAGAAAAAATATAAGAAAGTGAACACTAACATTTATATTGGTTCAATTTTAAATCACACGACTTATTTTAATCTTCAAAAATTTCATCTTGAGAATTCTACTGTCAACTTGAACTTTTGACATAAGATAAGTTCACAGCCTCTTTACACTTAAATTTTACTTTGATTCAGCTCGTAACTTTTATAACAATTACAATGTTACAAAAGAACAGGCCTCTTGATTTACTATTACAACACGACTTAAGTAAAAGAAACAATTACACAACACTTACTAGCACTAAAATAATAATAAATACACGACTTAAGTAAAAGAAACAATTACACAACACTTACTAGCACTAAAATAATAATAAAAATGTATAAAATTGTTTCTAAGAAGAGAGTGTGTAAGACAAAAAATATATAAATTAAAATTCGGTGTTTTGAAGTGAACATAAAATCTCTTTTATATAAGAGATAAAATTTAGGAGAAAAAAAAGGAAAGAACCAAGAGCTAGAGTCGCTCTCTAATCGATTATCTCATGGTGCGTTTATCGATTATAGGTACTTAATTAGAACATAAACTAGTCATGTTCGGGGTCTAATTGATTAAAGAGGGTTCTTAATAATCCATTAAGTGGTGAGTTGCTCTATAATCGATTAGAAACATGTTTTGATCGATTAGAGTGTGATTTTTCGCTTTCTAATTGATAAGGACACTTCATAGTCAATTAGCATAAGGTAGTAAATGATTTTTACGAATATTTTAAAGAGATGAAGTTTTTAAAATCATTTGAAGTGTGTATGTCCATTGCTTCAGTATTTTGAGAGATAATTTTTACACTATTAATTCTAAACAGATAAAAATACACTAAGGCACGAGATCACGTGAGCTTTTAAAGAATTCGATTCACTTGATGTTAATTTTAACATTTGACTTTATTTGCTCTAAACACTGAAATCTTTTTAACTTCACTTTTATATAAACTTCAATTTCAAAAAAAAAAATCCTTGATGATGCTCGTGATTATATTGCTTTATTCTTTTGTCATCATCAAAATCACAGTTGAATTCATAATTACCTATACACGGATCTGTAGCTATTTTGACAGATGTTTTGTTCCTTTTTAGGAGTGTGTATTTACTTAGCTGAATTTTAGATTCCTTTTCAACGAATATCAAGAAAGAATGTTGAAGAATTTGAGAACCGCAACCTCTCAATTACACCCTAATGCATGGGCTTTTGTGAAGGTGTTCTAGTTTTAGTGTGAATATCAAAATTAGAAGTCATATATGAATCTCTTATTTCATCTTTTTGTCATGTCGCGCACCTCCCGAGGTTGCCTCTATGGTCAAGGGTTGATTTTACTACGCTAAGAGGTCGAACAGTTTCATGTCTATGTCGAAAATTGAAAAGTATTTAAAGATTGTATCTTCTTGGCGAGGCCTCGAACTTCAGAAGCTTACTCTAGCTTTTGAGGATCCTTAGAGGAAACTATTTGGTGCCTGATTTGTCCAGGGTAAGGCTGATTAGGTGTGTTGAGAGGATTCGAAAATGTGGTTGATCTATAGAAGAGTTATTGTGCCCAGGTGTTCAAGTTCCCCAATCAGAGTTGGACCCAGAGAGTGGTTCGAGATAGTGCTATAGTTGGAGATGATGAGGTCCCTGTTGGGGGTCATGATGAATAGTTGGTTATGTCTTGATTTGGCATGCATTCCTTTTGTTCCCTTTTTGGACACTATAATGACATTGTTATGTTTATTAAACGTATATTCTACTACCAGTTTACTTGTTTTATTTGTTTGATATTCTTGAACTACTTTTGTTTCCCCATTGATTTAATTGCATTTGGATTTCACATCTTTCATTTTGATTTCTCTTTGTTGGGAAATGGAGTAACTTTCTACGTTTTGGATCACCAGTCCCTTTGGTGTTTTGCTTTTACCTGTCTCATTCGTTGGGAGCTCGTATAATTCTTCAATGTCATTGGGACCATTCTCGTTTAATAGTTGAGTCCCCTTTACCTACCCTAAGTTTGAGACTGCTTTGAAGTTGACGTCTCCAAGATCCACCCCCTACACTCTTGAGTTTCTAGCTCCTAAGAGTGCGTGCACTAGTTACGGCTTAATGCATTTTATTTTTGTGAACCTACTTTCTAAGGGGCAATTTGCACCATTTTGAATGAGCATCGAATTTTATTTATATGTAAAATATTGTTATGTCAGAAGATAATTAAATTATTCGATCTTCGAATGACTTTAAAAAATAGTTAACTTGAATATCATTCAGACCCTACGACTTAGGGTAGATTCTCGGTTTAGGTTCTTTGATGATACACTTCGTTGGGATGAGAAAAAGGTTGATAAATTTAGAGAGATAAATTTATCAACAAAAGAGGAAGGAAGAATCACAATTTAACGCGCCTTGTGGCACAATATGCCTTTTGTTGGTTGCAAGCTACAAGTAGTTGAAGTGTCACTTTTAGGTTTAATATATTCTTCCTTTACTATTTAGAAATGTTGAACTTTACTCTATTGTATTTACTTTGCTCACCATAAACTAAAATTCTTTGTGTTGATCAATGTGAAGTTTAAAGATAAAGTAGTCTTTTGTGTGTTATGATATGGGATTAGTGACTTATTTTATCATATGTTTTACTGCTATATATTTATTCCCTTGCCTGATTATCTTAAAAATAGATAATTGTTTGTTAGTGTTCAAGAATCCTATAATAAATGAAAATCATAACAAATATGGATTAAAAAACAAGAATACTTTGCCTCTTTAATTACTTTAGGGATAAAAAACTAAAGTCATGTGGGAATGCATAACTTATAAGAGAATGCATAAATTCTATTCTGAGACTTGAAAATTTGCTCCATAGTAAATTGATGCACATACTTAGACGTTTTAGGAGTACACCACTAGCTCATGTTCTTTTCAGAATTTCTTAGATTAAAAACAAATCTAAGTTAATACAAATTTTGTGGAATTGATACTCTTACTTTTAACACTTGCTACTAATATTGATTGTGCATACTTGTACATATAAAATAGTCAGCATCAAACATGGTGTCTACTTCTTTATGTGCTCGAATGGGTCCTCGGACTTGTTATAGTTGTCTAGGTTCAATAGTTTTTGATGGACTTAGGAATCCCGTAGTCGATTATGTGTTTGGCAAACGTGTTTGTTCAACGGCGAGAGGGGGTTTTATTGTTGGTGTTTTTCCCACTCTTCTTTTGAGAATGGTGTGACAAGGATCCCTTAAGGTGACATTCCTCGGGAGAGGTATGACTATAATTTACATCTCTCAAATCATGAGGAGAAGAGTTATAGGTCCGAGAACAGAGGTGTTTTATAGATCTTAAAGCCCTTTCATGTTATGACACAACGTCATTGAAAATCGTGTTAGGAGTGGCCCCAAAGCTGCCATGTTGTTGTACCTCTGGTTGTATAGCGGATTGCGACGGAACACTTTGTTGGTTTTATTCTATATGTAAGAGTCTCTCATTCATAATGTGTGTGCTTTGCTGCTGCACTAAATTGTAGATTCATGTTATGAATTTATTCTCTCCTTGTATCTCGAGTGTGGTTTGGAGCTATTGAAGATTCTGAGACATTTTCAATCTAGGCGCTTGCAATCACAGTGGAGGTCGTTTCGATGTTTGATCTTGGAGTAGTTGTTGAAAATGTTGGAACAATAGAAGAACCTGAAAAGTTCCTTGAACGATCAGTGGAGGAATTAGAATCTCGGGTAACGAGGTGGTTGGAAATGTCACTAGAACCAGACTACCCCTCACAAGGACTAGCGCGGTGGCACCAGTTGCTTAAACGGTGTTGTGTGTACCCCCGAGTGAGATGCTTTGGAAGTTAGCATTGTTGGTTAAGAAAATTCGCAGTAATTCGATCAATTAGCAAGAACGGTTATGGCGGCACAGCATATTGGATCAGAGGAGTTCGACGTGGATTTTTGTGAGAATCAGGAAATGTTTTCCACATACAACGCCACTATTTTTATGGGGAACATGAAATTATTAATGTGTTCAGGAAATCTTTCGTGGAATATATTCGATGCAACGAAGAGAGTCTCTAGTAAATAAAAATGTGGGTGTATCTATAAAGTTAACACTTCAACATTCAAGTTAGTAAAGTCAAAGAGGTATAACTTGCAAGAAAGAATAATTTGTACCTTGGTATGACACACAATTTCGTTTATAGTATATGGACGATGATTAAAACCACTCTCAGTGCGCGTGGCGTGAAATGCATGAGACATTTGAATTGACTCCAACAATTGAGATGGGTTGGTGCACGATTCGACTGCAGTTCCCTAGCAAATATCTACTACATGTTCGTCATCCTTAAGCGGACGGAATTTTGGATTGTACTTTTAAATTGAACCGGCTTTTTTTTACCGTTTGGTCGGTCTGAAACAGGAGGTCTCTAAAAAAAGAGGTGGATTAAAATAAATAAATATTTTTTATATATAGAGTGTGGTGCTCATCTAAGAATGATACTAATTATATTAATAATAATATTTCTCACACTCATATTTCATACTTTGTGTGGAATTTCAAGCCGAAAACTAAAATTTCCACAAGCTAGATGATTGGATTTAAATTCCATCCAACAGCGTGGAAACTACAGAGTGACTATTGACTCATTGAGCATAACAAACTTGCAACTATTTCCATCCTCCTTCTCATCCCTCTTATTTCTCCATTGTTAATATCATTACTCTGTTTCTTGATGAGTTATCATCATGACCGTGATATTAGAACTCACTCTCATATCAACAGAAGGATTAAACAACTACACTTCCTGTCTCAACCCCACCATAAGACCCTTCATCACACTCACCAAATTCCCACCCACCACAACAACCACACCTATTACAGCATGGGATAATAACATGTTCCGCGTCTCCCTCGATCCTACCTTCTTTTCAGAAGCATCTTCATGTCTATACCTTCAGCTATTCATCAAGCGGAGAATCATGGGCCAGGCCCAACTTGGTTGGTGTTTTATTCCAGCCTCGGATGTAGGATTTCTTACATCGGAGTCTGTTCGGTACCTGAGTTACCGATTACGTGGCAGTGATGGATCAAGGAGACATGTCATCATCAACATCTCTGTCCGGTTGGAGATATCAACAGCGCTGTCAACGAATATGGACACATGTCACACTGTCATTGGAATACCAGTGACAGCCATTCGGAGAGCTTAATTTCCATGTCAGAAAGTAGTTTAGTGGAGGCAATGTAATAGTTTCTTGTTCTGTCCTAACGTGTGGTTTTTTTCTTCTTAGTTTGAGAAAGTGGGCAAGGCCACTTGTTTTGTGGGTTGTTTTGATGTAACATCACTTTCTGTGTTTAACCGTATGAATCTCATAGCATGTGATGTGATGTTCTGATTGGTTTTTGGTAATTATGGTGATACAGCAACTATCATTCTAATCAAACAAAATAAACTATATATAATTGGCATCTAATTGACAAGTAGCAAACAGCAACAGATACACAACATTGTTAAAAAAACAGCAGTAAAACAATAAACAATAATGTTCCGTAATCCCGATCAACCGATTTGTTAACATGTCATAAATAAATGGACAGGTTACAGATACATATGGCTGTGTCGTCTGCTCTTGTGTGACGAACATATGAAACCTTGAATTACAAATTTACAAGCAGCAAGGGATAATGCATCCCTACTTGCAGACAGAAATGAAAACGCTTTTACTTTTTTTTCTCGTGTGATTACACGTTGTACTAAACGTTAGAACTTACGGAATGGCAAGTGTAAAAAGTGTGCTCCTCCAAAGTTCTAACTGACTTCAGCGTTGGTCTCTACCCCCAACAAAAAAAAAAACTTCTCTCTTTCTCTCAATGCCTTCGCCGGAAGAACGCTAATAGGCCTAAGGCAGCGATGATGGCAGCTCCAGCTGCAACGGTGTGAAAGGCCGAGGCCCATGCTTCTGAATTAGCATATTCCAAATTTAAACTTGATTCTGATCCATAACCACGTGCTCCTGTGTAGTCTAAGTGCAATCTCAATCCCTACAAAATTCACCAATTCAAGCTCATGAGAAATAGAGTGATAATGTACAAATACTAAAATGGCTGTGGATCATAGGTCCAACTCCCAATTAATTAACAGAAAACTTTCAATTAGAGATATCAAAGCTTGTTTTACAATGTGGTTAGATTTGCATTGTTGTAACCTTTTTGTTTAATAAAAGTTTAATTTAAGCACCAGCAGTACCTATAAGATGCACGCGTTATATATTCTTCCATTTTTCTATTGTAATCCCATATTAAAAAATAGAAAATAAAAGAGCCGTTACTATGTTGCTCGAAATCCATATTTTCTTCAAAACAAATCAATAGTCCCCACAAAAATAAATTCTATTTAACACTACACCAGCAACAGATCGACAATACCTTCAAACCAGCGGTCTTTGCATGGTCCACAGCTGCTGCAAGATCACTATCTGAAGCCAATACAACATGATCGTGATCTTCATCTTCATACTAGAAACAAATTAACCAGTTTGCATTAGAAAAAGGAGGAAGCATTGACAAAACTATGACAATATAAATGCAAAATCTTGAATTATACCAAAATTTGGGGCAGGTTTTTGGTGTCAATATCATCGCCAACTCTCTGAATGATGGAAGTTATTACCTCTGTCAAGCTCCGTGTATCTGAAGTTGCATGTAAACACACAAACCACTCAACTGATAATATTTTACTTGACACATGATTAACTAAAATAAGTTCAGATTTCACAAGATCCATAATTTCTTTAACTCTTTCATTATAGAAGAAATTTAATGTAATATTAAGGTAAGGTATAGCGAATGACATACCACATGTGAATCTATGCAATCTACCCTTCTTATCTTGTAGTTTGAAGGAAAATGTGGTTTGCGTGCTTGACACATTATAAGGAATGGACCTCCCTGTTTCTCCTCCCTCAGAAACCATTTTAAAGGAAGTGTCACTGACAATGTCATTAATAATGTGTAAGTGCATTAAAAATATTAGAAATAATTTCTCCTAGAAACAACAGGCACATGTCTAACCTTAGTGAATCTTCTTCGTCGTCATTTGGAGTTAAGGCCATGGCCGAATCCCAAAACTTTTGTATCATGCTGTTGGCAGCTTCATTGTTCAGATTAGCAGTATTCCCAGCCTAATTAATGGAGAAAAATGATACTGTCATTGCAAATTCTTCCCAGAAAAATATGACGGGAAGCTGAAATAAATTAACAAACGTAGTTTTGGTATCATTATCTCATTCTATTCAAATTTTCAACATTAACATCAGCAATGCTCTGAACCCTATTAGCTAATATTCATTTGAGAGAAACAGTTGAGTGTTTTCTTTTTTTCTTAAGTAATTGCACATCACAAGCAGAAGGGTAAAAGAAATTTCAAAATTTCTACCCTTTGAAACTCGAACATCACTTCTTAAAAGATCTTTCAAATCTCATTAAATTTCCATTAACTTTCAACTTCTAAACATTTTAAACTATTTTTCATGAACTTCCAGTTATTTAAGTAGAAAATAAGGATTCAAGAGCTTTCAATTGACAAGAACTTGATTGTAGTAATTTAGAGATTAAATTCAGGCAAAAACTTATTGAGAGGTTAAATTCAACGTTGTCAAAATCGGGATCTTGCATAAGATCGGGAGGGGATAGTAAGATCGTAACTAAGATCGGAAGATCCTACTCAATTATTTTTGTAAGATCGAGAGTGGGTAGCAACATCGTAAACATAAGATCGTAACAAAAATCGTAAGATACTACTAAAACATAAAATAATACTACATATATTTGAAGTATTTCTACATGATATTTTCGTAGGCAAGTGTATTCATGGGAAAATGAACGCCGCCAAACCATAATTGTTGCACCTGTATCTTGTCATCCTTCTCGGCCTGTAATGCGGTGCTAGAAAATGGCCGTTCGTGGCCGAAACTGGCCAAGATTGCACATAATCAATGATTTTACCATTTTTTTTCAATTTGACTATAACACACGATTCTACTTAAGATCTAGATCGTTGGGGGAGAGTGAGATCATAAAATCGTAAGATTTTAAGATTTAAATCGAGATTTTGATAAACATGTTAAATTCACAACATTGGCCAATAACTAAGCCTTAAAATTCTTGGCTCATATACCAACTCTTTTTAACTCAATTCTAGATTTTAAATTAGATAAACGAAAATTAGTTAACATCTATTATTCTTTAGTTGTTAGGGAATAATCAAGCTTTCCGATTCTAATATTCCCAATATGCTCAAGCAGATGCATAGATATAAAAGGTTGGTGATACTTTGCCATGTTTAAGTCCAAAATGCTGACTGCTGAGCCACGCACCCTTAACTTGCATGCATCAGATATTAATATTTATTAGTTACTTCATAGAAAGGAAAACTTGAAAACTGCTAACAACATCATAAGTACCAATTAAGGACATGATAAGTTAGTAATTATTTTGACAACAATTTTCTATAAGCAAAGCATGAATGATATAGGCCAGTAAAACATGTGTATCAAATAAAGCGTAAAGATGGAAGAGGTAAAGGAGTATTTGGAGAGCTGGTAGTGGGGTCAGGAGGAAAGGAAGGAATGAAGTTGTAACTAACTGTAGTGGCCAGCTAGGAGTGGAGAGTGTGAATGAAATAATAATAGGCCAGAATGAGGAAAATCGGTTTAAAAGGGGAGGGAGGCATGAAGAGAGAGCAGGGTAGTTTTGGAGTGGAAAAGGGTGTTGACTGTTGAGGAGTGAGAGCTTTTCTCGTCTCAGCAGGGGAATCCTCACACTGAGGGTTTAGTTTACAGTTTTATCATTCTTGCAAGGAGCTAATTCTCCATCCACATCTGTAGTTTCCTACTGTAGAGGCTTGCCTCAGTTCATACATTATATATTATCCTTGTTCCCTCATTCTCCTAGCATTATCCACTGTTCTATTAATGAACAAATCCACATACCTGACTAGCTGTAGCCACAGCAGCATGAGTGATATTAATCACATCAACCGTAGCAACAACAATGCCATCTGTTTTCAAAAACCAAAATCAGAAGAATATCTATACAAGGAACTTGTTCCCTATCTCATGCTAGTATATTACCTCTATCAACCACAGGAAGATGCAAGAATTTTCCGTTATGCATTATGTGAAGTGCATCAACAATTGGCGTGTCGATTATTGCACATTCTGGATTTGCAGTCATGACCTGTAGATTGTGTTGAGTATACTACGCCAGATAAAAAGGAGAAGAAGGGCAGGAAAAATGTGATCCCAAACAAAACTAGTTTTAGATTTACCGTTTCAACGAGAGTTGATGATGGGGAGAGATTTTGTGCTATTACCCGCATCAAGATATCCTTTGAACTGAAGTGCGTATGCACAATATAATCCATCAAAATTATTCAGCAATACTTATGACAGTAAAAAACTGAATTCTGTTTGTTCCAAAATAAAGTAAATGGGTGGCGATGTTCATAGCAACACACTTACGTAAGGATACCACAGGGTTTGTTATCAACTACCACAACAGCAGCACTTGCACGAAGTTCAAGCATCTTTTTTGTTGTTGTCAAAACCGAGTCTCTTGATGAGACTGTAACAACGCTGGAAAGTGCCATCTTCTGAATTAGCTTTGGATGATAACTCCGAACCCATAAACAAAATAAAACATGCTTGATTTTTCTTCAACTTAAAAAAAAAGGTATTACCTACTTTGAATTCTCAGGAATAATTGTAGACAATGATGGCTTAAATATCTGCTCCCGAAGAGTCTCATAGAATGATGAATTGGAGCCTGCACAAAATCAAATTAACATGAAATATTTTTTGGCCGGCAGTGGAAATCAGAGCCTAACTTAAAACACTGTCCTCCAATGTTGTCCTAATTAGAAATAAGAGAGTAAAAAATGCAAAAAGAAATGACTCCACAAACCAGAGGCAGAAGCTCCCCAGTGTTTTTCGATACCTTCAACAGCCGCTGCAATTGCCTTTCCTTTCTCAGCTGCCCTTTCCATACGGGCAATGGCGTCATATAAACACTTTGCTATATCAAGGATAGCAACCACTTCCCCATTCTCCACCACAGGTAAATGTCTGAATCTCCCTACAAAACATAAACCAGCCTTGTATTCAGAAGGCAGGACACAAAAACAGGGAAAAAGCATACATCATGAAGTAAT